AGGAACACACACAGGATACAATTTAAAGCAACCAAAATAGCAGCTCTTGCTCCTCATGTCTGTGGGGGGAAACCCATGTCCCAAAGAGCACTTTAGAGCACCCAAAACCCCTGAGGTGACCCCACATGCACTCAGACTCCCAGAGCTGAGGGTGCAGAGCTGTCCCCACCAGCCCAGGAGGTGTCCTCAGGATGACAGTGAGGGTTAGAAGACCAGGTATACCCCTTTTCCCTGCTGCTGCTTTGCTCGGTGGCTCTGGAGCACAGTGGGAGCTCTAGGAGCAGTGACTGGGCTTTTGCCCAGCTGGTGGCTTGGGAACTCTTGGGGAAAGCCTCCAGCACTGGAGCAAGGCATTATCCAAAACCCAGAGCCAGGCACTGCCAGCCGAAGTCCTGCTGGATGGTGCTGTGGGGACATCCACCACTCAGGGACCTTAGTGATGGGTGCTCTGCAGCACCCGTGGGTCCAAAGCCCAACAGGGGATGGCAGGATATGGGATGTTCCTCCACTCACAAGAGGGCTGGAGGCTCTGCAGGCACGGCTGGGCAGGACAAGCACCCTCCATCTCCCAGGGCTGACAGCTGGGGCGATGTGGGACCTGCTCTGATCCCCGAGAGCCACCCTCCGCTGCTGCCGCTGCCCCGCTGGGGCCACAGGCTCACCCAGTGCGGGCATGGAGCTGGAACTGCCCCGTGAGAGCATGGGTGACCCGGGCGGAGGCTGGAAGCCGTGAAAGTTTGGGGAAGGGGAAGGGGGCTGTGTGGGGAGTCCTGGGAGAGAGGGAAGAAGGGAGAGAGGTAGAGGGGGAAGGAGAGAAGAGATGGGAGCGATCTGGCACCCGGCGCTCCCGTTATCAGCCGCCGGTACCGCGGACAGCACGCTCCGCCCGTCCCGAGCCCTGCCCCGCCGAGCGCCGCTCCGGCCGCAACCGCGCCCCGCCAAGCGCCGTCCCCGTCCCCGTCCCCGCCGCGGTGCCGACCTGTTGCGCGTCCCGCCTGCTCCCCGCTCCGGCCAGCGCCCCTCTCGCCTAGAGGCTCCTCCTGCGGATCAGCCAGGCCAGCGCGGCCGCGGGCGTGATGGCGCACAGCAGGCACACCACCGCGGCCAGGCGCCGGCCGGCCCCGGGCCCGCGGCCCCGCGCCTTGCGCCGCTGCTCCAGCTCATCGCCCAGGCGGCGCAGGCGGGCGGCGACCAGGCGGGCGGCGGCCGAGGGCCGAGCGGCGCGGCCGGGGCTGCAGGGGCAGGGCGCGGGGGGGCCGCCGCGCAGCGCGCACGGGCACATGGCTGCGCCGCCGCTCAGCGCCGAGTGCCGCGCAGTGTGCGGGCGGGCCGGGGCGGCGGCGGGCGGGGGCCGGGGGGGGTTACATCATCCCCCGCGGGGCGGCGCTCGGCGGCGGGCGGGGGAAAGGGGGACGGAGGGGACGGTGCTTGCGCGGTGGGAAAGTTGGGTAGCGGGGGGGTGTGTGGGGTGGAGGGACAGCATGGGGGTAAAGGGACAGCGTGGAGACACGGGTGACAGTACGGGGATACAGGGACAGTGAGGAGAGAAAGGGGCAGTGTGGGACGGAGGGACAGCATGGGGCTAAAGGGACAGCGTGGAGACACGGGTGACAGTATAGGGATACAGGGACAGTGAGGAGATAAAGGGGCAGTGTGGGATGGAGGGGCAGCATGGGGCTAAAGGGACTGCGTGGAGACACGGGTGACAGCATGGGGATATAGGGACAGTGAGGAGAGAAAGGGGCACTGTGGGATGGAGGGACAGCATGGGGCTAAAGGGACAGCGTGGAGACACCAGTGACAGTACGGGGATATAGGGACAGTGAGGAGAGAAAGGGGCAGTGTGGGATGGAGGGGCAGCATGGGGGTAAAGGGACTGCGTGGAGACACGGGTGACAGCATGGGGATATAGGGACAGTGAGGAGAGAAAGGGGCAGTGTGGGACGGAGGGACAGCATGGGGCTAAAGGGACTGCGTGGAGACACGGGTGACAGCATGGGGATATAGGGACAGTGAGGAGAGAAAGGGGCACTGTGGGATGGAGGGACAGCATGGGGCTAAAGGGACAGCGTGGAGACACCAGTGACAGTACGGGGATATAGGGACAGTGAGGAGAGAAAGGGGCAGTGTGGGATGGAGGGACAGCATGGGGCTAAAGGGACAGCGTGGAGACACGGGTGACAGCATGGGGATACAGGGACAGTGAGGAGAGAAAGGGGCACTGTGGGATGGAGGGACAGCATGGGGCTAAAGGGACAGCGTGGAGACACGGGTGACAGCATGGGGATACAGGGACAGTGAGGAGAGAAAGGGGCAGTGTGGGATGGAGGGACAGCATGGGGCTAAAGGGACAGCGTGGAGACAGTACGGGGATATAGGGACAGTGAGGAGAGAAAGGGGCAGTGTGGGATGGAGGGACAGCATGGGGCTAAAGGGACAGCATGGAGACACAGGTGACAGTACGGGGATACAGGGACAGTGAGGGATGCAGAGTGACAACGTGGAGATGCAGGTGACAGCATAGGAACATAGGGACAGTGTGGAGACACAGGTGACAGTGTGGGATGGAGGGACTGTGTGTGGACACACATGATAGTGAGGGATGGAAGGACAGCGTGGGGATGCAGGTGACAGTGGGGATATAGGGACAGTGTGAGGATATAGGGAATGAGTGGGGATGGAGACACAGTGGGGGACAGAGGGACAGCGTGGGGATGTAGGTGACAGTATGGGGATGGAGACACAGTGGGGGACAGAGGGACAGCGTGGGGATGTAGGTGACAGTATGGGGATGGAGTGACAGCATGGGGATGTAGGTGACAGTATAGGGACAGCGTGGGGATGTAGGTGACAGTATGGGGATGGAGTGACAGCATGGGAATATAGGGACAGTGTGGGGATATAGGGAATGGATGGGGATGGAGTGATAATGCAGGGATAGAGGGACAGTGTGGGGATGCAGGTGACAGTGTGGGATGGAGTGACAGTGTTGAGGTGCATAGGAATATAGGGATAGTGTGTGGGATGGAGGGACAGCATGGGTATGGAGGGACTGTGTGTGGACACTCATAGTGAGGGATGGAAGGACAGTGTGGGGATATAGGGACAGTGTGGGGATATAGGGAATGCGTGGGGATGCAGGTGACAGTGTGGAGAGAGGGACAGCGTGGGGATGCAGGTGACAGCATGGGGACATAGGGACAGTGTGGGGATATAGGGAATGCATGGGGATAGAGGAACAGCGTAGGGATGCAGGTGACAGTGTGGGGACGCAGCTGCCGGTGAGGGATGGAGGGGGCAGTGTGGAGATGCAGGGGGGCAGTGAGGATTACGCAGAGCTGGAGTGGATTTCATCACCCAAAGCATTACCAATGCTGATCACATTTTGGGTGCCCGAGGCAGGAACACACAGCCCCCAGGCACTGACCCGCCGCTATGCAGAGTCTCCACAGCCATCAGTGCACAGCGGCAGGGCTGGGACCCCCTGTGCAGGACCCCCCATCCCACATCAGCCCTGGGACAGCAGCGGGGGCTCCCTGCAGCTCCCTCTGGGGCAGGAATCACCCCAAACTGGCCCATTTCATTCTGCCTCGCAGGGAGGCTGCTGCCACCCCCTCGGCAAATCACCCCGGTGTTGCAGAGGGGGCGGGGGACACCCTCCTGGGGCTCGCTCTCTTCCCAACATCTACCCTGCCTGGAGCACGCATCCATCCTGATGAAGGGGCAGCTCCTGCTCCACAGACCCGCCGCTGGCAGGGCTCACCACGGTCAGTGCATGCCCCGGGGCAGGCCACCCTCTGTGTCCAACTGATTTGTTTCACAGGGAATAAAAGTTTTTCGAAGGGTTTGTACACAGAATGATGGAAATCACCCAATGGTTTGGGAAGGGACCTTAAAGCTCCTCCAGCTCCAACTCCCGTGTCCACCTTCCACTAGAGCAGCTTGCTCCAAGCCCCTGTGTCCAACCTGGCCTTGAACACTGCCAGGGATGGGGCAGCCACAGCTTCTCTGGGCACCCTGTGCCAGCGCCTCAGCACCCTCACAGGGAAGAGCTTCTGCCTAAGATCTAACCTGACCTTCCCCTGTTTCAGTTTGAACCCATCACCCCTTGTCCTATCGCTACATTTCCCGATGAGGAGTCCCTGAGGTAGCTCAGGTTTCCCAGCATCCACAGTGTCTGTGTTCATTACATTGGGTTTTACAAACTGCATGGCCAACCACGAGCTACCGAGCAGAGAAACCAGCAAGTGGGCACTGAGGGTGCAGAACGGCAGCTTCAGAGGCGGACGCAAGGCTGGATGGATGTACCCGGGCACAGGCTGCAGCTGGGAGCACGGGCCATGTGTTTTATGGCTGTGCACCAGGAAAGGAGCAGCCATCTGAGTGTCTCCATTGACAAGTGTCACTTACCTGCTTCCTCCAGGGCTCCACAGAACTGGTGCTGAAGATGAAGGCAGCTGAGGCGACAGCGGCTCCACAGCCATGTTGGGTTCAGCCATCGTCTGAAAGGCAGCCTTGAAGCAACAAGATGGGCTGATAGTGGAGGTCATCTCCTCCCCAGCGTGCCATGGGAGTGGCTGTGGAAGCCAGCGGGTGTGACTGGGATGCTCTGACCCGCACAGCACCTTCCCGGGGCGCACAACGGGCACGACCGCCGCTGCCCATGAGCTCTGCTTCAGCCTCGGCCAACAAAACGGCTGGAAGACGTGGTCCAAGTGGCGCCCATCGCCCAGTGCCACAGCAACGCTCCTGCTCCCGCTCCGCGTCCTCTCCTGCTCTTCTGGGAGCAGCTTTCCCCCACGAGGGCTCACGGTAGAGCCCTGCCCGCGGCCCTCCCTCGGCCGCCGACAGCTTCCCAAGGCCCGGGGCCTCCATCCCGCCCTTCGTGTGCTGAGGTGCGCGGCGCTCACCCCGCCTCAGGCCCGCAACATGGCGGCGCCGTCGGGCGTAGGAACCTTCGTGCGGCGGAACGCGCGGGAGAGGGGGCGGTTTCCGGGCCGGGCCGCGGGGGAGGCTGGGCCGGGCCCGGCCCCGCCGCCATGGCCGAGGGCTCGGCGGAGCTGGAGCTGTTCCGCCGCTGCTGGCGGGAGGAGCTGGCGGGGGGCGCGAAGCGGCGGCGGCGGGAGGCGGCGGCAGCAGCCGGGCAGCCCCCAGCGGGGCCGGCAGCGGGGCCCGGGAGCCGCCCCAGCGCAGAGCAGGCCGAGCCGGGTTACCTGGCGCTGGCCCGCGGCCTGCTGCACGGCGGCGCCCCGCCCGGCCCGGCCCGCCGCAGCCCTTCGCCCGCCCGCCCCGCTGAGGAGCCCGCGGGGGATGGAGGCGGCGATGGCGACGATCTGCTGGGGCAGCTCATCCGAGACCTGGTAGGGCCGCGGCGGGGCCAGGGTGAGGTGCGGGGCGGGGAGCGGATGCCGGGCCAGAGGGGGACACCCGGGTTTCGGGTTCCTGTGGCTCCTTTGTCCCCTCCGCTTATTCCATCTTAGAAGGTTTTATCCCTCCAAAATGTACGTTTGTTCTTACGAATTGGCATTTGCTGCTTCTCTTCAGAACGGTTTTGTTTCCTATTTAGGCTGTTTGATGCAGGTGCGGTGCTTCAGACTGGTTTGCCTTGGGACATGGCAGTGTAGTAACAACGCCATTATTAATTCATTAAATAAATGAGTTAACTCGGAAATAGTCTTAAATACAGTTCTGAACCAGATCAACGGTATTTTGGCGAGTCCTCTAAATGCAATAGAGGTTTTATTTACAGCGCAGGAAAACGAGGGGGGAAACCCATTTTCTCGCTTCTGACTAACCAAACTGGGACTAATTACTATTTGCTTCGAAGAATTAAAAGGAAGAGATTAAATTTCTGTCTGCGAGGCACAAATTAATCCATTTACAGAATTAGTGCTCCATTAGCACACAGGAGCCCAAATCGGTCTCAGAGGGATGGATTTTGGATTCATTCCAATAGACTTTTAGAGAGGCTGGTGCTGACTTCACGTTACCGCTTGGTTTGCAGCGCTGCGCTGAAGCCAAGCTGTGTGGGTTTGGGGGATGTGGGAAGGGGAGATCTTGGTCTGTCTCTAAGGTTAAGGTTGAGTTAGAATGGGATTAGTAGGAGCTTGTGCTTTGTGGCAGGTCTGTGCTTACAGTTGGGCTATAAACGCTCTTGCAGGTCAGTTAAAATGAAATCTGTACATCTGGTTTTAGCTTTTCCCCCTCCTTTTTCATGTGAGGGCTGTCAGTCCTGACCATTGTGGCTGTACCGTCTGTCTGTAGGCAGTCTGTCCTTCCAATGACACCTTTGGGTACACGCAGACAGCCCAGGTTCTGCTGGCTGGATGTGAGTCAAGTCCAATTTGGAAGCAATACATTCATAGTGGTGCTGTGCCTGAGCTCATAAGCCTCGAGCTAATAAGCCTTGCCGAATGGCTCATCTTATTTGTTTGGGCAGTGTGTTGCTCTGAAATGGTTCCTGGAGCTGGTTCACATCTGGCCAGAGATGTGCGCTCAGAGCTCCTTTGATATTTTCCTTTGGTGTCCCCTTTGGAAATGGATGCAATTTAAATCGCATTGAAAGCAAACAATCGTCTTGCAAATCCACAGCAGGGAGTGGAGCCAGTGGTCCTCATGAGGAGGGAAAGGAGAGGGAAGGAGCTGTTTGTGCAGGAAAATTATGGATGAGGAGGGAGGGGAAGAGGAGGTTGGCGGCAGGTCCTAGTTTAAGTAACTTTGGAATGAGTGTAAGGTTCCAGCGGTTATAAATGGTGCTGTATTGCTAAAAAGACCTAATGGGAACGTTGCCCGTATTTGTGCTATCTAAACATTTACCTAATGTATCACAGAATCCCAGCCTGGTTTGGGTTGGAAGGGGCCTTAAAGCTCATCCAGTTCCAACCCCTGCCACGGGCAGGGACACCTTCCACTAGAGCAGCTTGCTCCAAGCCCCTGTGTCCAACCTGGCCTTGAACACTGCCAGGGATGGGGCAGCCACAGCTTCTCTGGGCACCCTGTGCAGCGCCTCAGCACCCTCACAGGGAAGAGCTTCTGCCTCAGAGCTCAGCTCAGTCTCCCCTCTGGCAGGTTAAAGCCATTCCCCTTGGCCTGTCCCTACAGGCCCTTGTCCAAAGCCCCTCTCCAGATTTCTTGTAGACCCCTTTTAGGTATTGAGGTATTTGAATTACTGAATATTAGGTATTAGAATACCTTTTGCATTAAAAACTTCCATGCAGCCATATTCTGCAATGGTTTTTCCTGTGTAACTACTTTTAATAAACCCAGCACTGCCTGTATGTCCTACTTCATGGGTACTGCCAAGGGTCCAGGTTTAAATAAGTAAGGAACATAGAAAAGACCTGCAAAGAAACAAAGGTGTTGGGGCTAGAGAGGTGCTAAGGTGCAGAGGATGATCCTGATTTGGGATCTGCCTGTTTTCTGATGGAGACAGGTTGTAACTGAGCAGCTGATGTTGTGCATGGGGAGCAGGCATTCAGAACCACCTGGGAAGGGTACAGGGACCAGGAAAAAACACCAGAGAGCAAACCATCAGAATGGGTGACATAGAAATGCCCAGAATGGGCTGATTTTGTTCACTCTCTATTATGTAGTATAAACATTTGGAATATCCAGGCAGAAATGAAGGAGACAAAACTTGATGTGATGCCTCCAGAAAGAAGATTTAATAATTATGTAGTTAGAACAGCCAGAAAGCATCTATATATGCCATATATGTGTTGCATTTAGTTGTTAGGGTGAAGTGATGGATTCTTTGGCTTTAAATTGTTTCTTTAGATACATAATCAGTTAAAGCAGCAACTCTTCCAGCATGTTACATATTAAAAAGACATTTTTATGTTACTGATGAAAGACAGAATCTGCAACATGATTTTCATTCAGTTTTATGTCAAAATACTCATTTTCCATCATCTGTTTGAAGCCTTGTGAGTGAAATTAATACTGGGCATATGTCTTCACAGTTTGATCTACTTGTTTGGTCTTTTTGATGCTTAAACCTTAGACAAACTGTTTCACTGGGACTTGTATCTTGCCTTTCTCTGCCATCTGACTATAGATAAGCCTTACATTTTTCCTCAGTCTGCTTGTTAGCTCCACTCTGCCTTCTAACATCCTTTACCTGCTGTAACTCAGAGAGCAGAGTAGCTTGAGTACCTTTAGCCAGCCTGGTTTGTCTGATGTGCTGTTACAGGAGGGAGAGGCAGAATTACCTTTGCCTTTTTGGTGGCACTGAGGACACGACGTCCTTTCTCCATACCATGGTAACTTTAGCTACTACCTAGCTGTACATTAAGGAAGCCTAACAGATTATTGTCTCTTTCTTTCTTTCCAGAATGAAATAAATGAGGTTCCTTTCTTTGATGTCCAGCTGCCTTATGAACTGGCACTGAAGATATTTCAGTACCTCGGCAAGACGGAGTTGGGAAGGTGTGCTCAGGTGAGTGCTGGTGACTGCTTCTCCAGTACCATGTAAAATGGGCAGGAATATTCCAGGGACAGTCATTGATGAAGGCCAGATATGTGGTAGCCCTCGTATATAGCTCAGCTGGTTGTGCTTTTAAGTGCTGAAAATACCTCCAAAGGTGAATACTGAAAAATAATAGTAAATGGTGTGGATTTAGAGCTTGCAGTCGAGTTAAATAAAGCATTTGTGGCTTGGACAAAAGTGAAGCCTTCAGATTTAAAATAAATACTTCCGAAGGTTTTGGGATTCAAGTGGGTGTACTTAGGAACAAGTGAGTGTCTTGCTGCAGTATTTGGAACACAACACTTTGCAGTACTAAAGGGTATGGCAACAAAGGTGTTCGTCCAGCTTTTCAGTGTGTGACCTGAACCACAGGAATTGGAGTAGTAACTTTTTGTCCTAGTAATTCCATGTGAGGCTGAATTGTCAAATGCCACTGATTTCCCATTACCCCCCAGGGGCTTCATAATTTTATTTGGTGATACTTTAAGATAATGCTTTCACCAGTCTGTACTCAGACATGGTTCATAATGTAGTAATTGACGTGTAGCTGTAAACTGCCCGTCTCTTCAAGCTCATTCTTCAAGCAGCTTCAATAACTTTAAACAGTCACATACACCTGACTTAGCATTGTTCAGCCCACCCTACTCAGCCTCTTTATCTCCTTTCTTCACACACTGAAAGATTAATCTCCTCTCTGAATGAAGCAAACTTAAGTTGGTGAGTGCTGATTACCCTGTGACCTAGAGTAGGGTATAGTGGATATTCATTGCCAGCTTCTCCCATGGCCACTGGTCAGTGTTTCAGGCTGGTGTTCACTGAACTCTTAAGCACAAAGCACATCTTGCAACTTCACAGGAAGTCCATCCAAAACCATTCTTTGTGTTACACTTGAGCCATGCCCTGGATTGTTTGCAGGAGAAAGAAATGATAACATGTAAAAACTGACAAGGGTCAGGCAGGGTATGGCTTTGCTGGGGTGGGTGAACTGGGCACAAGTATTATCCAAATGGCACGTGTCTTGAAATCAGGCTTTTAAGGTTCAGTATGAGCAAGCCATGGTGTTAAATAGCTACCACAGTTGGTTATTGAATAAATCTTTGACTTGCTGATGTCTTTTATGAAGGAGGGGTAGAAGAAGAAGAAGAATTCCTCTTTCAGGGCTTCTGTTGCAGAGGAATAATTTCTTCAGGATTATTTTTGGTGCTGTCCAGGAGACAAAAGCTTTCAGATATGCTTGAGCTTGTCATACATCTCAACATAAAAAGGACATGGAACTGTTGGAACAAGTCCAGAGGAGGCCACAAGGATGATCAGGGGCTGGAGCACCTCCCGTATGAAGATAGGCTCAGAAAGTTGGGGCTGTTCAGCCTGGAGAAGAGAAGGCTTCATGGAGACCTCATAGCAGCCTTCCAGTATCTGAAGGGGGCCTATAGGGATGCTGGGGAGGGACTCTTCATTAGGGTCTGTAGTGACAGTACAAGGGGTAACAGGTTCAAACTGAAACAGGGGAAGTTTAGATTGGATCTAAGGAGGAAATTCTTTCCTGTTAGGGTGCTGAGGCACTGGAATGGGTTGCCCAGGGAGGTTGTGAATGCTCCATCCCTGGCAGTGTTCAAGGCCAGGTAGGACAGAGCCTTGGGTGCCATGGTTTAGTGTGAGGTGTCCCTGCCCATGGCAGGGGGCTGGAACTGGATGATCTTAAGGTCCTTTCCAACCCAAACTATTCTATGATTCTATGATTTGAGGTAGAGAGATGTAATCAATAAAGGCCCCATCGCATGAAATGAAAAGGGTTGCATTTCTTGGGTGGTTTACTTTAAGGTTATTAATTTTCCATCTCTTTTTGTTTTTGTTGCTGTTAGTTTTGGTTTGCTTTGTTTCCCTTGGGATGATCAGTTTATCTCAGGGCATAATAAAAAGGTTGGCTGGTGAAGGGCTGCTCCTTTTCTGTGTGCTGGCACTGCACTTGATCTCTGTTTCACTCACTTTGGTTTCTAACCTGAACCTGTGCTCGTAAGAATTGCTTTAACACTGAGAAGATTTTCCACCTTTCTCGTTCCCCTTCTCACACAGAGTCTGTTGGTCCTGCATGGCAGCTGACAGGTAGCTGAGCAGATGCCCAGTGTTTTACAGGGCTTTCGGAATGAGGTGAAGATCCAGTGCTTTTAGAGCAGAGCTGGCTGCTATTGAAGTGTTCAAATAAAAAGCAAAGCGATAAAAATAAATCCCATTTGCATTTTTCTCTTGGTGCTTTGGTTTTTGAAGGGTGGGGGGAAGCCTGCTTGTGTTAAATGGAAAGCCCTGCTGCTTTATGGTGTTATCCCAGAAAGGTGTTTTTATTAAGGTGCCTTGGGATTTTAATGACATTGGGCCAGTTAGTGGAATTGGCATCAGGAACTATGTGAGTGCCTTTGGAGAAAACCTGTTAGCTTAGTTCTTTATGCCAAATTGGTACCCGACTAACAGTGAAGTAGCCTGACTGCAAAGTCTCTTTGAGATTTAATCACACCACAGACTGCTCTGGAGAACTTTAATTTCACCTTGATATTTCCCCCTTCCCACTCTTCCCCACAGCTTTTCCTTGAGTTTTGGAATTAGTACTCTAAAACACAAACTATTTGTATGGCATTTCCACTACCAAAGGCATGCACAGCATGTAAGTGAGTCGTGTCAGCAGTTCCTGAGCTCTGGTGGGTTGTGTGATACTCAGTAGTATCCAGCAGACCACTCCCTCTTGGTAGCCCATGTTTGTAATTCAAGGAGAAATGTATCCAGGACTTAATGTGTTAGCAGAACAGGCCAGAGTAAGGGCAAAATTTTCCCTCTGCTTTTTGCCAGCCCTATGTCCACCTTTAGATTCTGGTCTGACCATTGAAAGATGTATCTGTGCTGTGAGTGATGCTCTACAGCTGCCTGACAGGAGGATGGAGCCAGGAGGGGCTGGGCTCTGCTCCCAAGGAACAAGGGATGGGACAAGAGGAAACGGCCTCAAGCTGCCCCAGGGCAGGTTTAGATGGAGCTGAGGAACAATTCCTGCCCCAGAGGGTGCTCAGGCATTGGAACAGGCTGCCCAGGGCAGGGCTGCAGTCACCGTCCCTGCAAGCGTTCACACCCCGCGGAGATGAGGCCTCAGTGCCATGGGGCAGTGGTGGCCTTGGCAGTGCTGGGAATGGGTGTACTGGATGAGCTTGAAAGTCTTTTCCAACCTAACTGATTCTGAGATTCTTGTGTTATTTGGGGCTGATACTGCAGATACCTGCAGTTAATTTCACTCATGGGCTGAGGATCTGGCCTTTACACTGTCAGCTTTGTGACAAGGCGATGTCTCATCTATGAACTTCTCCATATACTTACAGTTACTGCTTTCTAATAAATGCCAGAGACTGCATGAGCTGCGTTTTGTGGTGTGAAGGCACCAGTGGGAAGTTGCCTGTTTGCATTTTCATCCCAGGGAAGGTTTAGAAATGTTTACCAACACAATTGTGTATGTATCTAAGACAAGGGAGACTGTTTCTAGGAATTTAAGAATGAATTGCCTTCCATAAATGGAGAATTTCAGATGCTTGTCTCTAGAGCTTCAGGAATTTTCGACCTGTTAGGATTTTAGTGTTTATACGTATAAAAGAAGAAAATCTCTTGTATTTTTTGAGCATCCTTTTGCATCAAGGTTGTATATGGATAAAAGAAATCACCCGTCCTCCTCGTAGTTGAGAGGGAGAGCAGAGAAACCAATGGATAAGGATATACTGGGCTCAGGATGGGACTTAAAATAGCAGATGGACACAAGAGGGACGTGGAGCTGTTGGAGTGAGTGCAGAGGAGGCCATGGAGCTGCTGCGAGGGCTGGAGCAGCTCTGCTCTGGAGCCAGGCTGAGAGAGCTGGGCTGGGGCAGCCTGGACAAGAGAAGGCTCCTGAAGGGGAGACCTGAGAGCAGCTCCAGTGCCTAAAGGGGCTGCAGGAAAGCTGGAGAGGGGCTTGGGACAAGGGATGTAGGGACAGGCCAAGGGGAATGGCTTTAACCTGCCAGAGGGGAGACTGAGATGAGCTCTTAGGCACAAGTTCTTCCCTGTGAGGGTGCTGAGGCACTGGCACAGGGTGCCCAGAGAAGCTGTGGCTGCCCCATCCCTGGCAGTGTTCAAGGGCAGGTTGGACACAGGGGCTTGGAGCAAGCTGCTCCAGTGGAAGGGGTCCCTGCCTGTGGCAGGGGTTGGAGCTGGGTGAGCTTTAAGGCCCCTTCCCACCCAAACCATTCTATGATGCTATCGTTATCACTGTGAATTGAAAAGATGAGCAGCTTCCACCTGGTGTGGCTTCCATCTGAATAGCTTTGGATTAAATCCGGTTTGGCACTCTGTATTGGACTGAACTGAAGGTCCAGATATTTCTAATTGAGGCCCCTGGCTTCAGCGAGTGAACCTTGACAATGCCTTTGTGTGTCTAGGGAAGAAAATTAACCTAATGAAACAAAGACAGTTATTTGATGCAAAGGGATAAATAAACCTTTGTTACAGTTTGAGCCAGTTGATTTAGATAGGATTAGGAGGAATTTAGGATTTAATGGAAGAGGTGGGCTTTGTTTGTTGCTTTTTGTGTGTGTTTTTAATAGCAAAACCTATGTGAGTGAAAGCCGGTGCAGTCCTTCAGACCATTATTACTTGCTGAACTAGAAGATATAAAACCATTCCTGTGTGGAGCTCAGGGGAAACCTAAGTTTCTTTGCTGAGAAAGGTTGAGAACTGTAGTAAAAAGATAATAAGAACACTAAATGCCAAATGAAACCGGGAACTCTCAATCTATAAACAGCTCTGTGAGGTGTTGTCATTGAGGGTTGTTGGAGTTTCTGCATAGTGTAGATTTGGAAATCATTATGTTTGTAGTTTAATAAGAGCTTTGCACATCTCAGCTACTCCCCAACAAGCCGAATGTATGGGTGTGTATAAATAAAGCCGTAATGCTCTGGCTTTCGGGGCCTCACCTGAAACTCGAAGTCAAGCAGATCTAATAAAGCTGACTGGGAGCCAATGGCTGGTTTTAATGCGGCAGCTCACAGTGGTGCTGTAAAGTGGAATGCTTGAGACACTTTTATTAGTGATTTCTTGCAGCTGAGCCTCGCTCAGTGGGGCTTTTACAAGGGATTGTCATGCTAGTTTTGGTGCAGCAAGAAAAGGCTGCGTTAAGGACCCTTTGGAAATCCAGGCTTGTAAAGCAGCAGGATTCAATGTAATTTGATTTAAGAAAATCATAATAGGCGAGGGTCTTTATTCCCTTTGCATGTTTGTTCCTGAAAGTTGAAAAGGCAGCCTAAATTTTATGTAGTTCCCCCCCTTCTTTTGTTTTAATACCATCTTTATAAAATGCTTTTAAGACCTTGAAACTCGAATGCTCTGAACAACACTGTCTATTTTGGCAAACTCCAAAGGTGTGTGTTTTTTTCTTTCTTTTTGCTTCTTTTTTATTAAGCAAGGCAAACACTGCCATCAGTTGGCTTTGTTTCCCTCTGCTTGGCCTCTAGCCTGTCCCCTCCATGTCAGCAGAAACGTGCTGCTGGAACAGGAGGGGGGCAGAGGTGCTGCTCATGTCAACCCGACTTGGCCCATTGCTCAACTCCTGCCCAACAGCTGCTTCGGTTTGGTGTGTCAGCACAAAGCTGGGTGGTTTTTTTTTCCTTTGAGCAGTAATATCTGCATTTATATTGCTTTAAAATCAAGTTGAGAGCAAATTCCCCACTAAACCGTAACGCTCTGAGGGCTTTTCTTTTGCTTTTGAACTTCCTGAGTGTGTCCCTACAGGGAGAGGAGCATTAAGCACTGCTTTTTTATTACAGGATGATGTATAATGCTAGAGAAGACTCCGTGCTGGTTCTGTTGTTTGTAAGGCATTCTGATTGCCCTATCCGGGTTGTTTGCTTTGTCAGATGAGGGAAGAGCATTGTGTGTGTCTGCTAGTCTGAGCTAAGTTCTCTTGGTGATTGAGTATTAGTCCTGCTGGACTTGGATTTTCCTGTTTGAGAGCTGCTCTTGTATGTAGGTATCTTTGGGCCCCTCACTGTAAGAGAGACCTTGAGGTGCTGGAGCGGGGCCAGAGCAGGGCAGCAGAGCTGGTGTGGGGCCTGGAGCCCAAGTGTGATGGGGAACGGCTGAGGGACCTGGGGGGTCCAGATGGAGAAGAGAAGGCTCAGGGGGGACCTGATGGCTGCCTACAAGTGCCTGAGAGGAGGATGGAGCCAGGAGGGGCTGGGCTCTGCTCCCAAGGAACAAGGGATGGGACAAGAGGAACCGGCCTCAAGCTGCCCCAGGGCAGGTTTAGATGGAGCTGAGGAACAATTCCTGCCCCAGAGGGTGCTCAGGCATTGGAACAGGCTGCCCAGGGCAGGGCTGCAGGCACCGGCCCTGCAAGTGTTCACACCCCGTGGAGATGAGGCCCCAGTGCCATGGGGCAGTGGTGGCCTTGGCAGTGCTGGGAACAGTTGGACTGGATGAGCTTAAAGGGCTTTTCCAGCCTGGCTGGTTCTAATCTTAAAAACACATTCAGGTTACTCAGTCCCCCCTTCTCTCTTCATATTAAACTTTTCTTTTCCCTGGAATAATGAAATATATCTTATGATGCAATCCTTGATTCCTATTGGGATGCTGGGTTTTGAGAGACCAGCAGGCAACACAATGTAAACAACATAGCTAGAAGATTCATAAAGCTTTCCACAGGGGAGATCTGTGCTGTTTATTGCGTAGATACTGTCCCACTGCTTGGGGACTATACAGTACACACCATGTGTGCAAGATGGTTTTGCACTTACCGTGACCCAGTGAGACCTGTAAGACACAGGGTCATGTTGATGGGTGCTTTCTGGACCTCAGCTGCTGTCTCCCTGTGATGCTGTGGGTGTTTTAGTTGGGCTGACTGGCCAGTCTTGGCCTGATGCTCCATTTCATAGAGCAGACTAAGGCACGCTCTTCCAAGTCATCACATAACAAATTGTACAGATCACGTTTCAAACTGCTTGATTTATTTTCCTAACCTCTGTGTAAGCCTCACTGCAGGCTTTGTTACTCCGTGGCTTGTGTTCTGCATGGACTCCTAGCAAATCTCTGCTGCCAAAAGCGTCTCGTACTTTAAGTATTCCTTATGCTGTATTTTGTTGTGACACTCTACTTTGGTTTTAAATCAAGGTTTGCCTAATAATGATAAAATACAAATGATGAAATAGAAAACAAGTAATAGTTCATCTTTCACTTCCCTCTGCCTTGTTGTGTCAGTGGAACACATGGCAAGTGAACACAGAGTGATGGTCCTTGTGAGACTTTGTCTGAATGGGACACGTAGATTCTTGGTGTAAGCTGGGGACTGCAATGGACATTAGATGCTTAATTGTAAGATGCTTATAACTGATGTCAGTCTGAGAAGGCTTTCTTAGTCTTTTGGAAGCACTCTACAATTGATTGCTGCTTTCACTGGTAGCAGGTTTCATTGGTTACCTCTTTTTCTTTTAAATTAAGAATTACAGGGAACAGATTGCCACTTAAGTTGCCTCTTACCTCTTGAATCTTTAATTCTCAGCCCACAATTGCTTGTGATGAGGCTGTTCTCTCTGCAATGGACAGCAACTTGAGGCCGCTTGAAAAACTTAATAATTCATTCCTATTTATGCATACTGTAATACAATAGGTTACAAATCACTAATGTCATACACCTAATCAGGCATTGTCAGTGGGGCTTTAGAGAGATTGCGGTGTGATCTGAGAGGTTTTCCTGGCTACAAATATGAGCATAGATTCATATTTTTGCTCTAAGCTTACAATGCTGTCTGAATTGTTTTCTTGCTTTTTTCCCTTCATAATTTTCTAATACACTGATTTTTCAGTGTGTTAGTGACAGTGTGGCACTGAACACTGGTGTCCATCTTGCAAGGAGTTTCAGTGGAGTAAAAATTTAGGTACTTTCAAAAGAATCCACAGAAAACAAGCCTTTTGTTAAAGGTTTGGGGGTTTTATGCTCTCAGTAGTATAAAGGGTGAAAAAATACATTTGTTTAGTTAAGAATTTAGAGTGCCTCAGGGTGGTGAGGCACTGGAATGGGTTGCCCAGGGAGGTTGTGAATGCTCCATCCCTGGCAGTGTTCAAGACCAGGTTGGACAGAGCCTTGGGTGATACGGTTTAGTGTGAGGTGTCCCTGCCCATGGCAGGGGGGTTGGAGCTAGGTGATCTTAAGGTCCTTTCCAACCCTAACTATTCTATGATTCTGTGATTCTATATTGATTTATATGTGTGCATTTCAGATGTTACTTAAGTAATTTTCTATGAAATCCATGTTTTACAGCTTCATGCTATACATGTCTATATATTTGGTTTCTAGGTCAGCAGGACGTGGAAGGCACTTGCAGAAGATGAAGTGTTGTGGTACAGGTTGTGCCAACAGGAAGGATACCTGTTGGATACAAGCATCTCCGATCATGCCTGTTGGAAGCTTGCCCTCAGGAACTGCCGGGCCAGGGAGCGCACATTGAAAACCAACTGGAAGGTAAAAGGGATGCTGTAGAAAAATGGGAACCTGGTTCAAGGAAGTGATGGTGAAAAGTTGGTCTTTTGTATTGCAGCTTCTTTTAGGCAGTGGAAAGGGGAAAGCTGCTGAAGGATTTATGAGACCCACTCCTAGCTCCCTTACCTTTTTTTTCACCCCATTGGCTGATTGCTTTTGGGAGTGAGTCTTTGTTTGCTGTGCTGCTCCACTGACTTTGAGAGAGACTTTTATACCTCAACAATCCACTGAGAATCAGTCTTTAAGATGAAAGCTTCCTCCTCTGCTCATTACATACCCTGGTTTAAAAGAAAGCGATCATTTTGTTGTTGTTGTGATAGTTCTTTCTCTGCCTGAAGATTATGAGTGATAATGAACAGTGATAGCGCTTCTCCTTCATTTCCATCTGTAACAATTCCAGGCAGCAAGTATAAGGTGTGTGTGACTTCTCTCAGCTGCACTGCAGCTTATCGGTAGCAATAGCAAAGCTTGGAGTTTTCCACAAAGAATTAAATTAATCATAGAGTCATCTGGGTTGGAAAAGCCCTTTAAGCTCATCCAGTCCAACCGTTCCCAGCACTGCCAAGGCCACCACTGCCCCATGGCACTGGGGCCTCATCTCCACGGGGTGTGAACACTTGCAGGGCCGGTGACTGCAGCCCTGCCCTGGGCAGCCTATTCCAATGCCTGAGCACCCTCTGGGGCAGGAATTGTTCCTCAGCTCCATCTAAACCTGCCCTGGGGCAGCTTGAGGCCGGTTCCTCTTGTCCCATCCCTTGTTCCTTGGGAGCAGAGCCCAGCCCCTCCTGGCTCCATCTTCCTCTCAGGCAGTTGTAGGGAGCCATCAGGTCCCCCCTGAGCCTTCTCTTCTCCACACTGAACCCCCCAGGTCCCTCAGCCGTTCCCCATCACACTTGGGCTCCAGGCCCTGCACCAGCTCCGCTGCCCTTCTCTGGCCCCGCTCCAGCACCTCAATGTCTCTCTTGGAGTGAAGGGCCCAAAACTGAACACAGGATTTGAGGTGCAGCCTCACCAGTGCCCAGTGCAGGGGCACAATCCCTGCCCTGGCCCTGCTGCCGCACTGGTGCTGATCCAGGCCAGGATGCTGGTGGCTTCCTGGCTGCCTGGGCACAAGCTGCTCACGTTCAGCTCCATCAATCAGCATCCCCAGCTCCTTTTCCATGAGCAGTTTCCAGCCGCACTTCCCCAAGCCTCAAGCATTGCATGGGGTTGTTGTGGCCCAAGTGCAGGACCCAGCACTTTGCCTTGTTGGAACTTCATCCCATTGCCCTCATTCCATGGATCCAACATGTCCTGGTCCCTCTGCAGAGCCTCCTGTCCTCCAGCAGATCAACCCTCCTGCCCAAGTCAGTAGCTGTGTGGCAGTGCCAACACCGTGTCTTCCTTCTGTGCAGAACCGCATCGGTGCTGTGAGCCAGCTGCGGTACGAGCTGGGAAGGATTCTGTGTGATGTACATTCCTGTGATGGAGTTGTCATTGCTGGGTGAGTACGAGGCTGCCTGATCCTCACACTGCTTGAAATCTCATGTACTGCTTTTAACTCATTCAACAGAAGCACTTGTTAGAGGCGACAAGAATGGCTTTTGCTAACCATAGTTCCTTTGTGAGTGATGGTGACTGTCCTTCAGGTGACTGATCATGGTTACCTGCAAGTCATTTCAGCAGTGCAGGTTTTTATTGTACTGTTCAAAAAGCTATCTCATGTGCATGCGGTCCCTGTAAAGTCTGCAATACTTTGTGATGAGCTGTATCCTTTGTTTTGCTGTGGAAGCACCCAGAGTGTGTTAAATGTGATACACATCTACTGAAACATGCTCTCTTCATTACTTTTTCCATAAAATCCCTTAATCTCAAGGATGTTCTTGTGTGCTGTGCAAGATAACTTTAGGACTGTGACTTTCCTCCATTTTTATTTGGAAGACAATCTAGGGAGGTGAAGAACACCCAAAACCCAATATATTTCCCTAATATAAAGCCTTGTCAGGACCTTGATGTAATGTTAGCTATTCATTTGGTTTAAATATACTTTTAAATACAATTTTAAGAACCTCACAAACGCTTAGGAGAGGTTACCATGGCTGTGTCAATAGATGTAAGGCTTTACTGCTTGAATTTTACAGGTTCAGGAATTAGTAGCCCTCCAGAAGAAGCCACACAAGTAAATACAAATGGTGTCATCCTGGGGGCAAGTCAGAGAACACTGTCCTCAACATACCAGAGCTCCATATTTATGGTGGCACTTCACATTAATGGTATGCTTATGCATTATGGGATTAGAGAAAACTATGAAGTACTATAAGATTCACACACTGGTTGAAAGAAATGTGCTTTGAAATACACTGGGTGTAGGTAACTCCTGTACACATTGACAGGCTTTTCATAGAATCATGGAATGGTTTGGGTTGGAAGGGATCTTAAAGCTTATCCAGTTTCAACCCCCTGCTGTGGGCAGGGACCCCTTCCACTAGAGCAGCTTGGTCCAAGCCCCTGTGTCCAACCTGGCCTTGAACACTGCCAGGGATGGGGCAGCCACAGCTTCTCTGGGCACCCTGTGCCAGCGCCTCAGCACCCTCAGAATGCTCTTGAGCAACTGAGAGCAGAAATCTGAACTGGCAGACAGCAGGAGGAAAAGGGGAGTTTTTATCTTTGATGATTGGTTTGGTTTTGTTTTTTCCCACTTATTTTCCTTCTGCATTTGCAGGTCTCCCATTCTCTTCTCTCTGCCATCCTGTTCATTGAGTACTGCTTCCCTTTCTCCGCTTCTCGTGCAGTGTTTTCACTGCTGTAGTTGGTTGTGTTAGAGGAATGGAAATGGCTCTGCTGAAGAGCCGTGAAGTCTGTGACCTCTGGAGGGGCAGTGCCACACAGTGGTTAACCTGAACAGTGGCCATGGAAGAAGTTGTGTGGCTGGAGGACCACAGATCTTAGTGCCTGATGTGAGACCCTTGAGGCAGCGCTCAGACACTGCATGTCCCAGCCTGCTGTGGTCTGTGGCTGGGCTCCAGCTAAGCCCACAGCAGCCTGCCTTCTTCTGTGCCCTTCAGCTTGGGCACTGTGTTTCCTGGCCTTGGCCAGGGATCTGCACTGCTGCATCCATTCCACTGTCTCTAATGAAACCTCCTGTACTTTTTTGGGAGCCAGAAACCCCAGTTGTCTCCATGCTGCTGCCAAGACCTCCAGCTCTTCTTTTTCTTCATTTTCTCCATTGTGTTTATATCCAAATATGCAATATATAGAATTTTATAGAATATATACTATAGAATTTTATATAGAATATATAGAAGATAAGCAGAATAAATTAAGTATCTAAAGAATTAATAACCAAAGGACAACAGTCCTGCATATTCAGCTCAGTCTGTATTTCAGCTTGGTGTATTATGGAAGTTGGGTTTATGCAGTTTCACACAGTGTTTTCATGTTGGTTCCCCAGTTCCTCCAGTGTCTCCTGCTGCTCTTGGTGAGTTTGCAGCAGTTGGCATGGTGAAGGGAGGCGGTGCCATTGGATAATTGTGGTTCCTGAAAGGTTTGTGGAAATAGATGAGCAGGAAAGAGACCACCGAGGGAAAAGCCGCATGTGTGTATCCATTAGGAAAAGCTATGTTCCAGGTTTCACTCGCATGACTTGTCAGTCATTTCCCTTCTCTGAGATAATGTTTAGTAAATAGTATCTCTTTATGAAGCTATGAGCATATATTTAGTACAACAACACAGAGAAATCAGAATTCAGCTGTTTGATTTGATCTGGTTAGGAAATGAAATGTTTAGAGTATTAGGACAGAAAGTTACACTCCTTCCTTTGCTGTTTACTGCTTGCCTTTCACTCTGCTTTGGTAGCTTGAGGTCTCTGACAGCATCTCTTTAAGTTGCTTCAAGTAGAAAACTATCCTGTGAATCTTGCCCCAAAGAAGATGAATTCATTGTTCTGCCAATAATGGTGAATATCAAACAACACAGACGTCATCACTAAAACTTCCAAGGACATTAAGAAACGGCGCAGGGAAATTACTTATGTGCATGTTCAGGAGGGGGAGACTGAGGAATTTGATGGGGTTTTGTTGTTTGTCTTTAAACCCAAACATAACCCTCCCCTTTCTCTCCCTGCTTGTAGTATTGTACTTAATGGCATTGTGCTTTCAAATTTGTAATAAAAGTGTAATGAATCTGGTGATCAATAGTAGCTGTTGCATTCGTTCAGTACTGAAGAAGTAATTTAATAGCTGAGGTTAGCAGAAGTCAATATTCTTCTCAGTATAAATATCAATTATCTGTTACATTTAAGGATTATATCTCCAGTTTCACAAACACTTACGTGCTTATATATGTGAATAATACTAGGTTACAGGGAGACTGGCTGGATGCGTAAAGCTAAACTCGTACAAGGCTTCAGAAGTCAGTGATGATCTTAAGGCTGCTTTTGTGTGTGGCGTTTCCTGGGGTTTCTCAGCAGTGGCCTGTGGCATCATTTACCTTTCTTTCTTCTGTGGTCAGGCTGCTGCACTGGATCAGATAGGGCTGCTCAGTTTTTAGGTGGGTTTTTGCTGCCTGACTTTGGGGAGCAGCTGCAGCACTCTGGCTCAGCTTGGTCAGACCAGCCAGGCATTACATTCTGTCTTTATAGCTGGAAACTGTGGCAGTGTACAGCAGCTGCTCCCAGGTTTCAGGATGCTCAAGTTGGGATCTTGGGAGATCAGAGAGTGGTTCTAAAAATCAAACAAGGGGGGTGGAGAGCAAGGATCCCCAGCAGAAATGCTGGGGCTGTTGTGCATTTGGAGTCTTTAGCAAGTCTGGGAACAACCTTTCTTGATGTGAACCCGCGCTGTGATAGACCTGATCTTGTTTTCTTCACTGTCCAGCACTGTTTGAAGCAGTAAAGTGGGGTAATTTTTATTTAGAGGTTTTTTATTTTACTCTTTCTGAAAAGGAGTTTGTGCAAGCTCTGAGCAGAATGACCTGGAGCAGCAGCCACAAGTGTGTTGGAGGCAGTTTGCCTGAAGTGCTTCAGGAGGAGATCTCTTTTGTTCACGTTATGTAAGGAAGCAAAGATAAACTGTGCAGGGTTAGCTCTTCCTTAGAGAAATGCACCTATTTCATGGACTCTCCTCTTCTCTCCACACTGCTGCCAAAGCTCAAGCCAGAAGATGGCAGAATATCAAGGATTGATTAAGCGCAACCTGAGCTGCGAGTGGAAGGTGGCTGCTAGCAGCTCCTCTTTCTCCGAGCGCCTTGCATTTCCTGGCTGACATCAGATAATTCAATCCGGCCTGCACAGAGCATCTTGTGTTTATCATTAAATTTTCATCCCAGCGGTTACGACGCTTGTTTTCTGGGTCAGACCTTGAATCCCTTTTCATTTGAGACAGTGGTGTTTGTGGTTACCTCACTCCCAATCAATGTTGTATTCGCCAGCCTTTCTACAGTTACATGTCTCGAAGGATCTTCTTTAAAGGGATGCTGTCCTCCCCCTCCCCTCTGTATTCAATTCAAATGTAGTTTTATCTATAAGTCAGAGTTTACTTAAAGCAATTATATGTCTGCTCGCTTGGCTTTTATAAATTACCACGGTGATTGGGTTCACTGCACCTAATGCTGTTGTATGCTTGGTTGCAGTGCAGAATGCCTGGATTTCTTCATTGTCTTTTAATAAAAGCTTATTTATATCTTTCAAGCAAGCACATGTTCAGACAGGAAAACTGCTGCTTTTTTTTTCTGGGCAGTATTGACAGCCACACTGATGGGCATTGGCAGGCAGAGGTTTGGTCATCCTGGAGACACTGATCTCAGAGCATGTGTCTGGTCCTTGTTTGAACTGTGTTGTCATTACACAGTGGATCCTGTGGTGTAACATGTAGTGTGTTGTGAGACTGTGTTGCTGTCTGTGTGGAATACACGTGTGGCTGTTCTTGAGCTGTGTGGCAAACCTGCCTTGTGTTGGTGGCTGTCATCTTACCTCACAACTCTTACTGTAAAACCCCACCAGGTCTGCTGTGAGGCAGGGTGATGTTTTAGTGTGCAGGGTGTTAACTTTTATGCTTGCAGAAGGGGCACTGTGGCTTTACTGCTGCTGTTTGTAGCTCTGAAAGCTTCCCAAATGAAAATAAGCTGTTTGTAGCTCTGAAAGCTTCTCAAATGAAAATAAACAGGAGCCAGTCCATCCTTCCAAATACCCAGATATATAAAGGTATCTGCTTTTTCTTTCTTCAGTTTTCCTTAGCTGAAGAAAGAGTGGTAAACTGTTAGTGAAGAGCTCGCATAAATGGAAATACAAGGGTATGCTTCTGTTGTGCTACTGCTGTTAGAGACCCATCTAGCAGATGCTGCATGGAGTCCCTGCCCCTCTTACAGGCTAGGCTGGGAATCAGCCTGTGGTTCGTCTCTTCGCAGTTTCCTCCTTCCCCCATAAGTATTGTCATCTTTCCTAGAGACTTCATTTTCTTGAGTTACATCGAGCGAGATTTTGCTGCTCTGGAATGCCTCCATAAATCA